GTTCAGCAGAGGGAGGAACAGGAATCTGCAGGAGTCAATGAGATCAGTTCCATGCAGGGACAGGCGCTGCTTGGATGCTAGTGTGTTTGTTACTGGGTTTGTTTTGTTTCATTTCTTTATTCAGACCCGGGTTTGGTTTTTTTTCACGTGATAGGCTCGGTTTATGTTTCTCTTTTTTCCCTTCAGTAGGTCATTTATCTGAAGTCTGGATGTGTTAGCTTGTGGTTTGGTCCGTATTTGCTTTGGGATGTCTGTTTATGCCGCTGGGAGAAGAGAAAGATGCTACCTCTGGCCTCCTCCAGGAGCAAGCAGGTTTTTTTGCTTTGAGTCGGAGTACATCTGGTCATCGCCCTTCCTGGGGAGGGAAGGCATTTTATTAATGTCCCTGCTTTGGTGCTTTTTACACCAAGACTGAACAATATTATACAGCACCATAGATATTTGAGTTACTTTGATCCAAGACATCCTTCAGTGGTATGTCTGATAAACTGTTGATTCGTTTCACTTTTAGCTTGGAAGTTGTCATTGTTTGGGTAGGGAATCAACAGTTTTGGTGGCTATGGTTTCATGATGCTAATTAATAAAAACAAAAAACCCCAAAGCTCCAGCACTGTAGAAAGTTCGAATGCTTGCCCCACCCGGCGCTCGTTTGGAACCATTTCCATCTCTCTTTGTCTTGCACTCAGAGCTGATGAGCTCCCGGTGGGTGTTTTTATTGGCCTGAGGGTGGAGGAAATCACGGTATAAAGTTTCTGATTAGTTAGTATGATAATGATCCATAGGATGGGGCTAATTTTCAGTGTGCAGTATAATTATTGAAGACCAGAGAGGGACTTCTTGCGAGTACTAATATACCAGCGCCCTTCCTTTTCTCTCCCATCTCCCTGCGTGCCAGAGACGCGGTTACAAACGCATTGCTATTCCACGCAATATGTTGGTTCCTCTTGGGCTCCAGTCTTGGCAAAGCTCTGCATTTAGTACTTTGGAATTTAATCAAAGCGAGTAATTAAAGGAACTTCCAAACAAAGCAAGCAGCAGCTGTATTCAGCAGTTCTTAACTGATAGCGAAGCCATTACACTCTGTAACCCCGAGGTGGATAGAGATGGGGCGATCTGCAAGCGCAACGAGGCTTGAGGAGGAGCTGGGATGCGTTCAGCAAACCCCAGCCACTCTTGAAGGCGAGTTCTCCTCTGTCCCTCTGACATACCGTGGAAGAGCAGAGGCGTCGGTCCCGCTGCAGTTTTATTTCCTCTGTTTTCACGGAGACTGTTACTGGGTGATTTTAAATCAGAATTGATTGCATACGCAAGGATGAGCTCGTGTCTGAGACCCACTGCAGTATGGCCCGTGTCATTGGAAAATGTTTCCAGAGCAAGGGGGGGGGGGAAATCCTGTTACTGTCTTCGGTGATAAATTTCTTTGCTCACCATCACTGTGCTCTTAACGTGTACGAGATTCTGTGTCTAACACGTGTACAGTTTCTTACCCCTCCTCCTCCTCCTCCTCTCCTCCTCCCCCTGGGATGATGTGCTGGGAGATAATACTCGCACTACTCCGCAGCAACTCCCAAGCTACTCTCAGCTGATGCAGCGTGCCTGCGTGGCGGAGGCTGATGCCAGCCCCACGGCGGTGAGTGGGCGGTGGTACCGACCCGAAGAGCCTCGGGGGGCTGCACTTCTCCGCTTGGCAGCAGCGCTGAGGACAGCTGCGCCCCATAAATGAACACCAAGCCCTGTTTGAGCTCAGTTCCGTATTGCTCAGAATCACAGAATCACAGAATGGTCGGGGTTGGAAGGGACCTCTGTGGGTCATCTGGTCCAACCCTCCTGCCGAAGCAGGGTCACCTACAGCAGGCTGCACAGGAGCTTGTCCAGGTGGGGCTTGAATATCTCCAGAGAAGGAGACTCCACAACCTCCCTGGGCAGCCTGTTCCAGTGCTCCGTCACCCTCAGAGGGAAGAAGTTCTTCCTCATGTTCAGACGGAACTTCCTGTGCCTCAGTTTGTGCCCGTTGCCCCTTGTCCTGTCACTGGGCACCACTGAAAAGAGCTTGGCCCCATCCTCCTGACACCCACCCTGCAGATATTTATAAGCATTTCTAAGGTCCCCTCGCAGCCTTCTCTTCTCCAGGCTGAACAAGCCCAGCTCCCTCAGCCTCTCCTCGTAGGAGAGATGTTCCAGTCTGAATTAGCCCTACAAAATTAGCCCTCCAAAAATTGCAAATTATTTTGCGTCGCTGTTGTTTGAAACAGGTAAAAAACGTTAGTAGAGTTTTCTGGGTTGAGCAGAGAGCGTGTGAAAGTTTGAGCAAGTTTCTGCCAATGCAGAGACATTAAAAATGGGATTTGGCGCATCTCGTGGCTCCACCAAGCCGGACGCAGCACGTGGCGGTTGCAGGAGGGTCACTCCGTGGCTGCCATTCACCCTTCTCTGGTGTTTCTCTTCTCTCCTCGGTGGGCAGCGTCGGGCAGCCGTTCCAAGGGGCTTACCTGGAAATCAGCAAGAACCCCAAGTACAAAAAACTGAAGGACGCCGTGGATGAGAAGATCATTATTGCCGAGGTTGTCAATAAGATCAACAGAGCGAATGGGAAGGTAAGGAAGTGGAATTGCTTTCTCCAGAAGGGCAGATCATTTTTGTTGTAAATAACCCAAGGGGGAGACTCCGTTTCTGTCGTGTGATAGTCTGAGGATTTAAAAAATGCCTTTTTTTTGAGGGCAAGGCTGGAAATGTTGGATTTATGCAAATTGGTGGGTTTAAACACCGGTTTTGAATTTACATGAAGATTACTAAAGTTCTGTTTGGGTTTCTGGTTTTTAGTGACTTTTCCAAACAAAAATGGTATCTCAGCAACAGACAGATTCACAACTAGCTGTATTCTCTGTACCAAAGGTAGATCTTCTGTCTGCCAGTTAAAGAGAAGAAGTATTTAGAGAATATTGTTCAAGTATTTAGAAAACCATACCCTTTCAAGGTTCACGCTGTCATGGAAGCTCCTGATTATCACATTTTATGCTGTTTTAGAGTTGTGAGTGGCATACTCCACTGGCTTTACCTGCCTTCTGATTGATATCAAAAGCTTTTGGGAGTGAAGAGGCAAATTTCTTGTATCATTTGAATAAAGCTGTTAAATATGCTGGGTACTTTTTTATTCTGCCCACACAGAACTTGTTTTGCATTTAAATGATACTTATTAAAACAGGAAGTATTCTCCTCCCTTAGTAAATGTAATTGTTTTCACCATATCTGTCTAAATATTAGAAGTAGTAGATCTCAGCTCCTCAGATGTAAATGCCACTTATGCATTTGTAGGAGTGAAATTAGGTTGCCTGTTGTTGATGCCAAGTTAATTTTCCGGTTTGGAAGAAACTAATTAAATGAAGACAATATCTTTCCTGTACTTGCATATGCTACAGCTCTCAAGATTAAAAACCAATAATAATAATGAGCTATGGTTCTATGTGCTTAAGACAGCTACTTCTTAATTATAATAGTTAAGATTTTATAATTTAAAATTTTACAGGAGAAAAAGCTATATGTAAATTAAGTTCTCATTTCTCTTTCTCACTGTTTGCTAAGATGAATTTAAGAACACACATTCACGCTCTAAAAATATTTGTTGTTTGAAAATATGAACGAGTATCCTCAAGAATAATTCCAATAGATAAAGGGAGGAGAACGTAACACTGAAAATACCTGTGTGATTTGTGGTGTTCTGCAACACAGTTTTGGCGAATATCAGTAAATAGTGAGGCTTAGCCCCGAGTTAGCTCTCACTGAGAAGGTACGCTGGTTTTCCTGGGGACTGGCAGAGCATGAGAAATGAGGTTATCCTGATTTGCATAGATTCTGAGTTTCAGCTGCTGAATTTCATAACTGTAAGCTGGTAATTAAAGGAACTGTTTCTATCTAAGCATACGTGCCAAGATGAGCTAAGCTTCTCAATCTGTAATTAGACACGTAAAAAATTTGACCTGATTTTAACTGATCTGCAGCTTTTACCGAACATCAAATGTTCGTGTTTACTAATGTGGGCCAAGCTTGTTAGCTCCATGAACTGCTGCTCGTCTTAGTAGGTGCTCAGCACAGAGCAGTTGTCTCTCTGTGTAGGTAATGGTTTGCGCTTTTGTATTTTCACAGGCTACATCCAGGATTTTCTTATTAACCAAAAACAACGTCCTTCTTGCGGATCAGAAATCTGGGAATATCAAGTCAGAGGTTCCCCTGGGAGATGTAACCAAAGTGTCCATGAGCTCCCAAAATGACGGCTTCTTTGCAGTGCACCTCAAGGAGGTCGGTTACAACTTTAGAATACGATAACATGACTCTTTTACATGCGGCGATATAAAAACTCTTTAATTATCTTGTAGCATTAAATCGTAGCGGTTATTCCCTAGGTTCAGAAGTTTATTGAACTTTGCCATATCTGTAAAAACTTTCACATAAAACTACTGAAGCCAAATGAGAACAGTTACTACATTATGAATGATCATGGCAGGGCGGTTGGAACCAGATGATCTCTAAGGTCCCTTCCAACCCAAACCATGCTATGATTCTATGATTTCCTTGTGAAAATCAAACTTCATATTTCACTGTAGCCTCTTCAGGATTGGAGTTTTCCATTTGTAAGATGGGCCTTTGATCTGCTTCGGATGCTTTGTGGCAGTGTTGTCCTTTTTAGCTGCTTGTATAATTCTTCCTGACACGCTGGCAGAATATTTCTCTCTTCTTTGAGGGATGCCAAGAAATCCACGTTGCGGCACAGCTGATTTGGTGACTCCGTCCTAAAGAACTTAGCTCAGTGCTATATTTGCTTCACTGCGCTGTCAGCAGTGCTCTGCTAAAATGATTAAGCTGGCGTTTGTATTCTCGCTTAAATGGCTTGGAAGAACGTCATATATAGTGCCTTCTCGTACTGACCGCCTGCATCCTAGTCCTGGTGTTGGCCGTTGGTTTCTGTTCCTTTCTGAAAATACCGTGAGCTTGCTGCGGCGTAGCCAGAAGGAGGGATACAGAAACTCTGCAGTTTTGTAGGACAGCTGAAGGTGACCCTCCCCGAGGGTCAGGAGGGGGTTTTGACTTGCTCCACAGGTTTGGTGCTTATTTGAGAGTGAATTGCATTGTGGTCCTATAGACTGCACTGCATCCCTGCTTAATTCACCAGACAAAATACTCTTGTTTCGTTGCACCGGGAAGAGCAGACTCCCCGTAAAACCTGGCATTTAATATTTCACTACTTCTAGGTTTTGGTAGTCCTAACTGCTTTCCTTTCTGTTTCAGGGATCAGGAGCAGCTGGTAAAGGAGATTTCCTGCTCAGCAGTGACCACCTTATTGAAATGGCCACTAAACTTTACCGCACTACTCTCAGCCAAACCAAGCAGAAGCTCAACATTGAGATATCTGACGAGTAAGTGTCTTCTTTGCTTGGAAGTGCGTTTCCTTCAATGCAACACGCTAAAAAGTCAAGCATCGAATTTTAGAAAAACAAAATGCTGTTCTGTAACCAGTACTTCTTTTCTCTGGACAGAATACTTGTAAATAAGGATGCAGTTTTCAGCGTGTGCTCGTCTCTAGTGTTCATTTTTGCTCTTACTTCCCTGGAAGTCACTAGAGAAACTGTGCTTTTCTTCAGGTAGTTTCAAATAGGGCTACAAAGCAGAACTGCTGCTGTAGAAATAATGAAGAGATACCACGTTTGAGGCAGTCATTTTGTGTGTGACTGAAAAGTTCACGTACTCCTGTCAGACGCTGAGCAATTAGAGCGGGCGCCAGGTGCCAAGTTCCAGTGAGAAGAACCAAACCAGAATGAAAAGCTCTTCCCAACCACATGTCATGATGGTGCTAGGAATGGAGGTCCATAAAGCTCTGCTGAAGTTCCTG